TAAAGGACATAACTTCCTCTAATCCAGAAATGTCAATGCCGACACACAGGGGGAGTGGCGTCTGACATATAGACTAAAATGTGAAAACCACTATATCTCTAAAACCAATTATGCTGGGGAACTGAAACTTAGCACAGATGCATAGATTGTAAATACCCTACTTACGGTGAAAAATGGTAGGTACTGCGAAATTGGGCGTGGCACTTCCGATACAAATTAAATTCTCATATCGCTTATCTCTGGAACCACTTATGCTAACGTCCTGAAATTGGACACAGCAACATATGTTGTACTTACGGCGAAAAGAGGTATAGTTTGGCGTGTCACCGCCCATACAAACTGAAAATCTTATATCGCTTATATCTGGAACCGCATATGCTAACGTTCTGAAATTGGACACAGCAACATATGTTGTCAAAACCGTACCTACGGCGAAGAGTTAGATTTTGGAAAAGGGGGCGTGGCACCGCCTATGCAAACTGAAATTCTCATATCGCTTATTTCTGGAACCACTTATGCTTACGTCCTGAAATGTGACACAGCTATTTATGATATCAATACCGTAGTTATGGCGAAAAGTGGTAGATAATGGGCAATCGGGCGTGGCACCGCACTTAGAAACTTAAATTTTTATAGCGCTTATCTCTGGAACCGCTTACGCTATCGTCCTGAAATTTGACACAGCTATTTATGATATCATTAACATACTTATGGCGAAAAGTGTGAAATAATGGGAAAGGGGGCGTGGCACCGCCCATACAAACTGAAATTTTCATACCGCTTATCTCTGGAACCGCTTATGTTGACGGCATAAAATTTGAAACAGCTATTTATGATATCAATAACGTACTTGATATATGCCCCACAACACACTTAAACTTAAATTTTTATAGCGCTTATCTCTGGAACCGCTTACGCTATCGTCCTGAAATTTGACACAGCTATTTATGATATCATTAACGTACTTATGGCGAAAAGTGTGAGATAATGGGAAAGGGGACGTGGCACCGCCCATACAAACTGAAATTCTTATATCGCTTATCTCTGGAACCGCTTATGCTAACGTCCTGAAATTTGACACGGCTATTTATGATATCATTCACGTACTTACGGCGAAAAGTGGTAGATAACGGGAAGGGTGGCGCAGGGATTGAGAGCTATCCTAAGAAATCATATTTATGATCAGTAGGGAAGACAAAAATATGCCAAAAAATATTAATTATATGATCATTAAAATGACTCCAAAATATTAAAAATATACTTGATATATGAGCCACAATACACTTAAACTTAAAAACTTAAATTTTTATAGCGCTTATCTCTGGAACCGCTTACGCTATCGTCCTGAAATTTGACACAGCTATTTATGATATCATTAACATACTTATGGCGAAAAGTGTGAAATAATGGGAAAGGGGGCGTGGCACCGCCCATACAAACTGAAATTTTCATACCGCTTATCTCTGGAACCGCTAATGCTGACGTCATAAAATTTGAAACAGCTATTTATGATATCAATAACGTACTTGATATATGCCCCACAACACACTTAAACTTAAATTTTTATAGCGCTTATCTCTGGAACCGCTTACGCTATCGTCCTGAAATTTGACACAGCTATTTATGATATCATTAACGTACTTACGGCGAAAAGAGTGCGATAATGGGAAAGGGGGCGTGGCACCGCACATACAAACTGAAATTCTCATATAGCTTATCTCTGGAACCGCTTAAGCTGACGTCCTGGAATTTGATACAGCAACATATGTTGTCAATACCGTACCTACGGCGAAGAGTGGCTGATTTTGGAAAGGGGGCCATGGCACCACCCATAAAAACTGAAATTCTTATATCGCTTATCTCCGGAACCGGCTATGCTAACGTCCTGACATTTCACACAGCAACATATGTTATCAATTCCATACATACGGCGAAAAGTGCTTATCTTTGGAACCTCTTATGCTAACGTCCTGAAATTTAACACAGCTATTTATGTTATCAATAACGTACTTATGGAGAAGAGTGGTACTGAAAGTGGTAAAAACTGAAATAATCGTATTGGTTATCTTTGGAACCACTAATTATAAGGTAATGGAGTTTTATACACCTTCATTTATATATATGCGGAAGAATCATTCAATTGGGAACAATTTCCTCCCATATTTTAAAATCGCATTGATTTTGATGATACAAGAACTTAAGAATTAGACACAATCCGGAGCCACCGTGGATAACCAGCGAAGATCGAATGTCTCACATAAGAGTATTTGTGTAACTAGTAATTTTTAGCAAAAAAAAAAACCGACTTCAACTCTCATATAAAAAAAAAATATATATATATATCTCATGATCCGCTGATCGGATCTTAACCAGATTAGTATGGGAACACCTCTGAGACACTACCTTTCCGATGCAAAAAGAATTATCGAAATCGGTTGACGTGGTCCAAAGTTATGCGGTAACATACATAAAAAAAAAAAAAAAAAATATTCCGACGAACTGATAACCTCCTCCTTTTTTGGAAGTCTGTTAATAAAAGTAAATAAAGTGTTAAACATGCTATTTCTGAAGCAATATAACCGAGCTATCAATAAGCAGTCATACAAGCCCCCACTTCTACTTGATTTTTGACGAACCTCTACGCGAACAAAGTCCTCTTCATACCGTTTTTTTTGTTTTCCGTGTCTTAAATACCTGCATGTGTTCCTTACTTATTATGTTTCTACTAGACATGAAAAAAGAAAGTGTGCACTATGTATAATTTCAACCATTTCAAATGAGATTCTTTAGCAAAAATTAAAAAAACAGTAATTTTGTTTACTTTTGGACCTGGTCGGGCAATATTTTATTAAATCAAACCTTTGCTAAAAACTTGTGTTTGTTTTTGTTATTTATGGCCTTATAACAATTATATTCAACAATTTTTATTAAGCTTGAGGCCGTTTTTAATGAAAAACTTTTGTGGAAAAGCAAGAACCCCAGCTGACTGCGGTCGTTGGATCGAATCCCACTGAAAGAAGTCTGATTAGGAAATGTGGTGATTTCCAAATAGCTATCACCTCTACGATTTTTATAAATTATTGTTGCTTTTCCACAATATTTTTCATTAAAAAAGGCCTCAAGCTCAATAAAAATTGTGAACAACTTTTGTTGTGAAACTGGGGGACAGTACGCCCCTTCTTCTGCTATTTAGAGTCAAAGTGTAAGATCCTTTAAAAACGATTTCCACCTGACTTTTAATTAGGTAAGAATTACGTAACTATCGAATGTTATTTGTCAAAGATCTGTTGAAAAACTGGATGTATAGCTATTATGCAAATACTTCAACAAAAAATCCAACTAATAATAATAGGTTTTTGCATTTATTATAACTTATAAAGACAATTACACAGACCGCCACTAAGTTATTGACGAATTTGACAGAATTAGCTTTTCGTGTGACGTCATCATAGAAATGTCCGCGCTAAGTTTGTTCCCGCGTAGACGAACACAAATACGATTTGTTTACAAATTGCAACCAGCGCTATTTTTTTCTCTCCTTCATCTCTCGTACTCGTTGCTATCGTGACGTCATCGCCCGGAGGAACGCGCATTCTTGTATTCTATCATTCTTGCACAGATTTTATAAAAAAAAAAATTAGATTCCAACCAAGACTAATCGGTGTTAACATACAATTTTCATTTCGGGTACAGGAAAATAATTCTCAAATCAAGACGATTACCTAAATTCGAGCTCAAGCTCAGCCCGAAAAATGCAGTGATCGATCTTGAAAATAAAAACAACAAATCGATGTTGAACAGAAACCGAAGCCTCGTCAATTTTGGGATATCAGAAATTTTGAAAGATCGATGGTGAACAACCAATCTTCGACCGATTTTGTCGATGTTTACAAAACTATCAATGCATTGTTTGCATAGGTAGTTATAAAACTACTCATCTTATTACTGACGAGACGCTCTGTCAATAGGTCGGTTTTTACAAGCTTTTTTTTATATTTCTTGATAGGGATGTCGGAAAAACATCGATGCATCGAAAATATCGATGTTTTTCTTCGATGCATCGAAAATTTTCCACTTGATGTATAAATAGTCGATGTATCGATGCATCGATATATCGAAGTTTTTCGAAAACTGACATCTACGGTACGTTGAACCGTCATTCCAGTTTTTCAATTGTTCAGAAAAAAGAAGTGACTTTGACCAAAAAATTTTAATTGCTGCAAGAAGTTCCGTTAGAAACATAATTAGCTCGGTTGCAGTAATTTATTTCAAATTTTCTACAATTTTGCTAATAACATATTTTGTTGTGAAACATTATCTGAAAAATCCTATGCAAATCGATGCATCGATGTATGCCCTTCGATGCATCGAATCAAAGAAAAACATCGATGTATTTTTGCCACTGACATCCCTATTTCTTGGCAAGTTTCGGGCAAACGAGCGTAGATACGAAGAGCTCTCACAAAAGAGATGAAACTGCCCAAAACCACGGGAACGCAAGACAGTTTGTTGATATTTGTTCATGCATCAATCAAAGAATATATTAGTATATACATATATATACTAGTTAAAAGCTGTTTGCTCTTCATTACTCTGTTTCTTCTGGCAGTTTAACAGTTTCCAGAAACTCGCTCGGAAAAATAGTCCGGGCGATCTCGGGCAAATTTGAAACACAAAGTACTCTTGCAAGGTGTCCGCCAACAGTCCCAGAACTGACAAAAGAAACACAAAATGGCCAGTTTAGGACACCCCCGGGCGAGGAAAAGACAAATTTAATGTAATGATATTTAGTGGATTTATAAGATATTTCCAACGTCATAATGCTTTCAAGTCATATTTTTTTCATGCAATATTAAAGTTGGAAACGTTTTTACGGCGTTTATAGCTACTTCATAATGTTTTAAACAAAAAGAAAATATATAATGAGCTGCTAGTTTATCATTTAAACCGCCTTAAAATATAAAAAAAAAGTGCGACACTTAAAACATTGGTATATTTACCTGTGATAAAAAAGACGTGCTATGGCCATGCGCTGTTTTTCTCCACCGGATAGTATATCTTTCCAATCACGGACAACATGAAAGCTATCACTGAAAATAATTAACACGTTTTTATAAATATAAGCAAATAATGTCACGTGTTTCTCATTAGCAGTTATTACCGTTGGGCTATATGTTCCAAACATACCATCTTCAAAATGACTCGCAGCTCATTCTCTGTAACACCTTTTCGTATCATATCTTCACGACTATCGGGATAAATAATCTGATCACAAAGACTGCCTGTTGACATGTATGGACGTTGTGGGATATAAAACATGCAAGGTTTATCTTCAACAGGACGTGGTATATGCAGTTCACCAGAATAAATAGGCCAAAGCCCGCTCAAAATACGGAATAGGCTTGATTTACCACAGCCATTGGGTCCAGTAATTAGCAGATGCATGCCTTGCTCAATGCACAGAGTTAGACTTGGTACGACGATATCACAATTGGGTGTTACCACAGGTACAGCACGCAATGTAATTGTCATATCATTTGGGGTATCGGTGTATATGATACGACCCTTGGCAATCGGCTTCCCATCCTTGAACTCAATGATACCGCTCATTTCATTGTTTTCGACGACGGTGTTTTTATAATAAATACCTTGCGCGGTCTCTTCAAAAACATCCATCATTCCAGCAACACGATAAGTATATCCAGCCAGTGCAACAATTTCTTTATACGATGACATCAGCCGCTCAATGGCATCAGCAGCGGAAATAAGTAAATTCCGTGCTGTAGTAAGATATTGAGTACGCTCACTGACATTTGAATCCAAAACTTCTTTTACGCTTGAGTTATTCGTGTCGATTGCTGGTATAGTTCCACCTGATGTTAAAATTGGCAAAGAAACCATAACCATACCCGTCCCAGACCACACATATTTCATAAAAAATTGTTCAAGCATAACGAACCAGAGCTTCTGGGTGAATATGTTGTTCATTTGATTAATAAGACGGTTGTAAGCTTGCCGCAGTTGTTGCAGTTCTACCTGAATATAATATATGAAAAACAACAATTTATTGTCTTTGGTAATAGTAGGGGAACCCAAGTGGGGATTCGGGGATTTACTCGAGCGCCAAATCTAAGCCATCTATGTAGAGCCGCGTGCATAGGAGAGTTGATCAGAAAAAAATTGATAGGTGGATTTACTCGAGCACGTTAGATTAAGAAATAGTAGGTTAATTACATGCTGAAGAGTGTGCATTTCAATAATCTGACGATTTGGGCGTAACGCAAGGGATTGGGAGGGTCGCCAACTTGCGTATTAGATCAAAATTATATTAAGAAAAATTATTAACACATGATGTAACTTTTAGCTCAACAAATATCAGTTAAAAATTACTTTTTTAACTTATGTATGTGAATTTTACTAATTTCTTAGCTAAAATCACTAGACATAGGAATTTGTATGTATGAAAAACACGCATTTTTCAGATAATTTTGAATACGGCAATCTTAAGTTTACTTATCTCCGCTCCCTTCTTGCTCGTGGTGTTACATGAAATATAACCTTTGAAATAACTAACTAACTAACTAACTAATAACTAACTAATACCTTTTTTATGTCGACACATAAAGCGCTTTGATCCAGTTCGCTGTGATTCAAAGCGGATGTATAAACCAAATTTCAATACGCTCCACAGTGTTTCGACTATGTATATGGAGGCAGGTGGAAATAATGGTAAACCTGCACCGATTTCACTGAAACTTGACATGTGCTCTAGTTTTACTTAGAAACAGAGAATTATGAAATTTTGTAAAGATGGAATAATTGCCGCGCCCTCTACACTTGTGGGCGGAAACATTAAATTTCATCCTCGGATGAACTAGATTTCGACGAAAAAAAAATTTAGTTTATAGTCTTTATTTTATTAGAATAAATATAAAATATGGGAAAGATTGGATCACTATAACGTCCAAAACTCACAAAAAATGTGGGCCCAGTCATTAAATGTTATGGAATTTTGGTTAATTTTTGATTCCTGCTTTCCACCCTCAGAAAACAAAGGTTATACTATAAAATGACTTCGGTGCAAATACTCGCTTTTTCCCAATGTTTGGAGAGATTTTTTCATTGTTCGAAAAATTCTTTTCGCGAAATTATGCAAAAAGAAGCTGAAAATCAAAAATTAAGACAATCAAAAATTTCATATATTTGCAAAGTCGCGTGCAAAGATAAAATTATATATTCAAAAACTACAAAAAATTCTCTAAAACATTCGTCTAATTTCAAGACCTGACGGACCGGTACTCACTTTTTTTTACTAATAATCTTTAGCATCTACATTTGAAAGTAAATTTTTTGGTAAGAAAATAGGAAAGTACCAAATAAATGATAAATACCTTCACGTGAATATTCCACGACATTTAAATAATTGATTGCTGTTGAAAAAGAAACACTTTCTTTACTGGGCAATTAAACTGATTAGTCGATATCGCGCCCATTCCCGTATTTTTTTGGAAATGTATCGTTCGTGAAGAAGGGAGGTCAGTAAATAATGTAAAATTTGGTATTTATGACTTTTATTTTTCCCTCTCTAAGTCTAACCGGTTTTTTTTTTATCAACTGTCACCTTGACATTTTTCTACCTGCCTCCATATAGTCGAAACACTGTGCGCTCTGAATTTCAAAAATGTATTGACTCGAATTTGATTTCAAATCGGTTTTTTATTTCCCAAATCGGTTAGAAAACAGGTATAAACACATCACTCATTCGACGCGAAGTGAAAATAGGCTGGTTTTCTTTATACAGCCCGTTTTAAATTTGAATAATTATTAAAATAAATTTGAATTATTGTTCGCTTCCATTTCGGTCCATCACGCAAATAAATTATTAAAGAAATATCGAAATAAAACAAACAATTTTGTATACTTTTGAGTACGGTTTCAGCGAGTGTGCTGTAAAGAAACATGTGTTAAGTCATATTGGTTTTTTCTTAATGCGGTTCTTGTGTAGGTATAAAAAAGGTATACATTTTGTGATTCACGATGAGAGGAAATGGTTTTTGTGGATCAAATTCTTGTCAAAAAACTTGTTGGACTATTCTAGGGACTCAGGTATAATACCATATAAATTCTATAATAACACACTTTTCACTTAATATGTAAAAAAAAAAATATTGTAAATTACTTCTTGTTACAGATGGGGAAAATGTAGAAGAAATTGACGACCAAGTCGAACCGGACTTGCTGTATGACGATAGTTGCACGGATAAAATAATAAGTGTTTACAATAATATATGTTTGGTTGACTGTGCATCTCAGAACCGAAATTATTTTTTAATACCGTCAGATTAAGAAAACCCCTCGTGATAATCGTCAGATTATGGAACAGGGCGACCAGGACATCGAGGTGAACCTTCTGTATGAATATCTGATGCACTCAAGTAAATCCAAATGGTGATTTTTTTTTTGCATCTTCAAGAAGACGCCACGAGCTTGCGTGCCATCTGAATCGTCAGATTATTGAATGGGAGGTTCATTCGGGCCTATTTAACATCCCTTGTGAATACCTGACGCGCTCGACTAAATTTTTTTGTCACCCATTTTTGACCCTTCCGTACGTCCAACCCAACTATGCAAACCGGCAGATTAGCATATTTCCGCCATCAGAAACACGTTTGATTTATTCACTATCAATATCTGACGCGCTCGGGTTAATCCACGTAACTTTTTTTTTACATTTTTGGAAGCCTGCAGATTCTCCACCCTGGAAGGAAAAATATCACATGACCTTTTTTCTTCCCATCATATAATCTTCAAAATCCAATAGGTCAAAATGACGCTCGAGTAAATCCCGATTTAGCATCGTGGGCTCCCCTACTATACTTTGGTATTGCTTTGTATACATATGCAGTTATCCCGAAACACCAGCGTGTTTGCTGCTTTTTTAGTGCTAGCGGTTTGTAAAGTAAAAAAGTAAAAAAAAAACACCAGAGTAATCAAAAGCATATTGAATTTAAAAAAAAATCCAATATTTGCAGAGACCGTGGAGGGTGTGCATTAAAAAAAAGCCTACCTACAAAATGATCTAGACGCCCTTAATAGGTGGTGCACTGACAATAACTTCTTTTTAAACATAAACAGGTGTTGCGTTGTTACTTATTCAAGAAAAACTAATAACACTTTATTTAATTNATAAAGACACCCATACAACAAGCTATGCATTTAACGAACCGATAGCAAGGTATATGCCACTAGAAAATCGATATTGTAGTTCTCTAAACNTTAATAGGTGGTGCACTGACAATAACTTCTTTTTAAACATAAACAGGTGTTGCGTTGTTACTTATTCAAGAAAAACTAATAACACTTTATTTAATTATGAATTAAATACTTGCTCTCTAAATCGTTGTTACGAGATGAAAGATCTCGTTGTTATATTTGATTCTGGACTTTCTTTCTCTAGTCACATTGATTACATGTGTGCTAAATCTTTTGTCATGATTGGTTTTNGCAAATTTGTATAGTTTTAAGTTAGACTTTGCATCGATGTATCGTATATAAAAATCGATATTTTCGATGGTGCGAATGAATTAAAATTATACATGACAATGAAAAAATCGGAACTTATATAAATGTGGTGACGTGCAATAATGTCAATGACATTANCTGAGAGAGTTCAAAAAGTGTTCACCAAAGTCACATTACATAACCTTCGGTGGCCTGATGGTCCCGCCATATATTAGTAGACGTAAGCCGCTAGGGTTCTAGGCCTTGCATGAGAGAAGGACTAGCTTTTCGATTTTGTTTGCGTTTAATATAATTAACGGTAATGTTACCTGTTCACAATTAATAACTTTATTCAATCGATATATTCCGCCGCGTGATCTTCGACACAATAAATCTATCCTAATTATATAAAGAGAAGTCCCTTTTTTGTAACAGGTAATCTCGCGAACNGACCAAAAGTCAAATAATGTCACTTTGGAATTGATTCACCCTCTAAAAGTGAAATATGTAATGTTATAAAAATAAATTTGGTTGATACTATCGAATGGTTCTATTTTTTTGCACTATCGAATGGTCGTTGGGCACTATCGATAGTGTTTGTTTGAAGAACTATATATATTGTTTATATTATATGTACTANGTTTTTTAGGTGTTAGGTAGGTGGACCAGGGACCGGTCTATTCGAAAAAATCTTATTATGGCCCGACTTGCTTAAAATTTAGTACGTAAGTAGCTTTTTAGCATATATTAGCATATATGACCCATTTTTTTCTGGGAAGTGGTCCAGGGACCGATCTATTCGAAAAAATCGAATTTACGGTCCGATTTGCTTTAAATTCGGTGCGCAGGTAGCTTTTTAGCATGTATTAGCATATACGATCAAGTTTTTTCCGAGAAGTGGACCAGGGACCGATCTATTCCAAAAAATCGCATTTATGGTCCGATTTGCTTAAAATTCGGTACGTAAGTAGTTTTTTAGCATATATTAGGAT